TTAAAATTGAAGGTTTATTATCAGTTGTGTGCAAACTATAATATCTTCTGTCACTAGCTATATGTTTTCATCCAAATTTGTGAATTTAATTTGTGCCAAAATTTGGAATGCCACATAAAACATTAGTGAAAAAAACACCACTTCCATTCCATGTTCAAAAAATCTGCACTTCCTGGGAAACTGGCACAAAGTATAATAAATAAAATCTTGCTGTGATTGGTAAAGCCTGTTAGCTGATATAATGCAATAACAATATTATCTTGTTTGTCTGTTGAGGCAAAGGTTTTTTTTTTTTTTTGGTTGCACTCAGGAATTTGAGTAAATGTGTTTTCCATATAGTTATGCACATTTTCCTATACTGACAAAATCTGCCTCAGTTGAGTGCATACATTTATTTATTTTTGTTCATTTTAATATTTTATGCACATCTTGCCATTTGCATCCAGTGTTTTTTATTCAATATTCCAAAATTTGCATAAAAATAAATGGATGGAAACGCAGCTAATGACGAACAGACCACAATCTCCTTTAATTACAACTGACGGCTGAAGTACCTAACAAAGTGATTAGTGTTGTAGTCCATCTCTATGTTGGCACGGGCTGTGTCTCTGCTCAGGGAGCTTCACAGCAGTGTTGAGTGAACATTAGCCCTGACCGGGGCAGGTTCTGCTTGAGTGGCTTCACTCATGGCCTGTCTGACCACTGGAGTGGAAGAGAAGATCTCCTGCAGGGTTCAATGTCATTCATAAAACTACCAACCACTGCATTTTAAATGAATGAGATGTATTTCTTGATGTATCAGAGATGTATGCCTTTTTGTGTTTGCATGCATTTTGGTATATACTACTTAGATTTTTGGATGGACTTTAGATGTTTTTTGCTATATAAGTGGTCCTTGAAAATTTTTATGCACTCATATTGTGCTCCCCCCCCCCTGTCATTAACACATTTATTTGGTTTAAATAATTGCTGTTCTGAGTACTGTCTGAAGGAATAGTTCACCCAAAAATGATTTACTTGCCTGTAGGTTGAATGCAAGTGATATTACATATCATTTTTGTTCTTGTCTCATGACCAAAGGTAATTGTCATGAGCTGATGTGTCACATGGTCTAGCGTCTGTGTGTTTGATATGACAGTTTAAAGGGGTCATATGATGTTGCTAAAAAGAACATTATTTTGTGTATTTGGTGTAATGAAATGTTTATGCGGTTTAAGGTTAAAAAAACACATTATTTTCCACATACTGTACATTATTGTTTCTTCTCTGTGCCCCGCCTTTCTGAAACACGTTGCGTTGTGATTGGCCGAATACCTCAAGAGTGTGACGGAAATGTTACGCCCCTTACTATATTGTGATGATGCCCTGTCAGGCCAGAGCGATGATTCAAAAACATCAAAACCCATTATAAACGAGGCATTTGTTGCATCCAGTGGGGACATAATTATGGTTTATAATGACTTATACTGTCTTTGTACGCGTTGCTTTGCATCGCGCCGTGTAAACATAAAACCATGTCTGCATTTGTGATCGGAGAAATGACAAACAACAAGCGCTACTCTACACTGCTCAAAACTCATGTTTTGTATCGTCAGTGGCAAATTCTTTAAATATGAAAATGACTTACAGTCTGTGAGTCAGAACAGCCGTAAAATGCTCTGCACACATCTGAATATTTGGGTTGAACTGTTCTGGGACAGTGTTGTAAATACAACTTAACCACTGATTTCTAATCGTGTCCTCTTTAGGAAGGCCAAACAAAGTATTTTCGCTTTCGCAACGAAAAACACAGCGTCTTCACAGCACGGCGGTGGCAGCAACAATAAAGTTACACCTTTTTCTTTGCGTGAACATTTGGGCGGTGTTATACAAATCTTCCCACATTGTGACGTAGACATGTGGGGGCGTGTTTTAGGAGGGCGTGGACCAGTCTAAACTTTTTAAAGAATATCTCTTTGGGTTTGAGACTTTAGTCTTTGCAACTTTAGGGATCTTATCTATTCAGGAATAGCTTGTAACACTCCGAAGAGAAAGGAAAACTTCAAATCGCATCATATAACCCCTTTAAATGGAGGAGAAATTATCAGAGACTATATCATTTTCTGTTTGTTGCTTTATTGATCTAAGAAGGCTTTAAAATGGCATTATTTTTAAAATAAATATTTCTTGAAAACAATTGTTTTAATAATTGTTCAAATTTTACCTGCTGTTTTTCCCCCCTAAACAGGCTTCCTTTTTTAAAATAATTGTGTCGTGAGATTGATTTTGGACATAAACTTTAAGTTTCAAGGAAAAAGTAAATTAAAAACTTTTTTTTGCGAGTTTTGTGAGTTGACTATTTTTGTACCTTGTGAGAAATGTTTTAAAACATTTTTGCTGTTCAGTTTTGCGTGTGTACAGTATCAAAAATATGATTGATCTAGATCCAGTATTGAGCATCTAAAACAGCGCCTGCCGTCTGGATGTATTTAGTGACTTTTATTTGAGCAGATTTGTTACACTCTTTTTAAGGTAGAGTCTAATGCAGTTTGCTGTTTCATATCTGAGTTTAGATCAGTCACTTTATCAACCAAATAAACTAAACTGTGCTGTCAATTTGACTCAAATCCACACCAAAAGCTCTAGTGTGAGAGTGTCTTGAGTCTTGAGCCTCACGACACACACTGATGTCTAGTCTGCTCTCATGCCAGTGCCAGTATCTGCCACTCAAGATCATGACCTGAGCTATTGAGCTTAGGAAAGTGGATTAACAAGACAGTCATTAAGATTTAGTGATCTCTGCCTCTGCGCAGTGACATCACAATCCGTAGTCTGTCGATATACTGAGAATGGATTGAGTATGTTGGGTAGAGTACGATTGTGTGGTTTGAAATCATTTGCTCGTACTGTTTGTTCATGACTGACATGGTTTAAAATAATGTAAAAAAAAAACACATGCACTTGAACATTTGAAAATGCATTTTAAAATCAAACTGAAATACCATTGTACTTTTGTAATTTGAGTGAAATGTTTTTGCAGCAATATAATGTTAGTATTATTGAGGTTTATGGTTTTTATATTAATAATTTGAATTCGTTTTTATGTTTTAGTAATTTAGTTGTGTTTTTTGTCATTTTATTCGTTTATTTTAAATAGATCTGTAGTTTTTATTCATTTTTCAGTATTCTTTTTTTATTACATCAAGTTCAATGAAATGAAAATGAAAAATGTTTCCTTGACAACCAGCTGAAATAAAATATGTTTTATTTTTATTTATTTATTTTTATTTCAACTAACATTTATCTCAAATAGCGATTTAAAAAAAAACATTTTAGTTAACCATTAGGCTATAACCCTGCTCCAGAGTAATTAGACGCATAGAAATGATGGCTCAGGTGATTGGCTCAAAAATAATTGTATTTAGATTTGCGTAAGCATTAACAAAGATGACACAATTCATGCTGCAATCAAATGAAATTATTTTTAGACCTCCTTGGTATGTTTCCGAAAAGAAAAATTTTAAGAGTCAGAGCAAGTATTGCATTTTGAAGATATATTAAAAACAAACTTTTTATCTCTTTGAAGTAACCTTCACATTGTTCACACAACACCCAGGAACATGTATTACGAAGGGTCCATTTTGATTTCATGCTTTTAGACAATACCATATTTCTTATGTCCTTCATTTACTCTTCTAGTTTCATGCAACTCCAGTCTCTCAGCAAGCAATATGCAGTTCATAAATCTCCCTCTCTGTATATACATTAATTCAGTACAACAAATACATTAATGATTAACAATTTTATAACTTAATGTCTTTGACCCATATACTGTTTAAGAAGTCCGCATCAAAAGAAATTTACAAAAGTGATTATATGTTTATAGAAAGCACATTAAATGTAAGTAAAGTGTCTACTTTTAAGGTTTCAAATAAGTTTTTTGGAGAATAAAATGTAAAAATTTGGTTGAAATAATGTTACATTGTCATTCAGTGTAACACAATATTTATGTAAAAATTCAAACAACATGCTTATTCTGACTTGTGCATATTAAAATATACTATAAAAGAATAAGGGAGCATATTCAATTTTATTGTGTTTTAAATGAGTAAAAATTCTTACTGACAAATGGGTGTAGCGTCTGGAGGGCAAAACCTAGGATAGTGGCAAATTTAAAAAAAAATTAAAATTACAACTAATTAGTATTTGGGGAGAAAGTAATTAGTCTTAATATGTCATAAATTGATTTTTGTTGTAAATATGCCTGACAAGAATGTTAAATTGAATGACATTTTAGTGGGTGTCTTCTGTAAATCAGGGAAAAATGTATGATATTTATTTTTTGCTCGGAAAAACAAAAACAAAATTACAATTAAATTAAACAGAAAACTTTTTAAAAAATTTTTGGGGAAAAACAACAATTTAAAGCAGTATTACACTTATTGTTTTTATGTTTAAACCCTTTTTCGTCTTTGACCCATATAGTTGTTATTGTAATCATTAATCAGAATCATGGAATTTTCTTTTTAAGAAGAGAGAGAGAGAGAGAGAGAGCGAGCACATATTGCATTTTGAAGATATATTAAAAACAAACTTTTTATTTCTTCCAAGTAGCATGCACATTGTGCACAAAACATGTATTACAAATGTAAATGGGGTGGATTTTGATTTCGTGCTTTTAGACAGTGCGACTTTTTTTTAGACACTTTCACTTGCATTGTTTTCTTCCAAATTGAAAAAAATCGAAGAATCGAAAAATTGGATCGAATCTTTCATTAATACCGTATTTATCATTTCTTTCATTTACTCATCTAGCTTCATGCAACTCCAGACTCTCAGCACGCAGATACAGAAAATGTGGAATATGCAGTTCATAAATCTCCCTCGTTCTCCCTCCCTCCCTTAGCGACAGCACTCCCCTCTTATCTTGTCGTCTTTAGCGTCACAGGAGCATGGCGAAGGAGCATCCTTGTGCCCTAAGCTTGAGCTCGAGCGAGAGAGAGATAGAGAGAGAGAGAGAGGCAGAGGGAGGGGAGATGCAGCGTCAGTCAGCTGCAGTAGGCAGAGGACAGCAGCAGCAGAAGCAGTAGTGGCTGCCGTTCTCTATTGTTCAGCCAGAACATTCTCCTTTCCTCTCCAGCCAACCAGAGGAGCAGAAGCCCAGGAGGTCCGCTACATGCACCGTTCCTTCGGGGAACACTAACTGAAGAGGCACTCAAACTCTTTCAGTCTGTGCGACTGAACTTCTTTCTCTGCTCTCGTTGGGGTGTTTTTTCCTCCCGACTGAGTGGATTTTACGTGACTCAGGGGAGCCATGGGACTTGGGGTTAGGGGTGCAAGGACAGCGTTCCTGTGTTTATGGAGGTTATTTTTACTGCTCTGTGGAATCCGGACCGCTTGCACCCAAACATCAGAAGACGGGAAGTCGCTGTACTTCTGGGAGACAGGTATACGGCTATTTCCATAAGTACCTTGATGGATGTGAGTGGGATGTGAAGGTTCCAGACTGGCTGATTGCACAAAGTTGCATTGCAATTGTTTTATTATCTGGGGTAAGAAAAAAAAGGACAACTAAAGGTCTTCGGTCTCACTTCAAAACAGCTCTGCGTAGAGTGTTTGAATTATTTCCAATCATCCTAATTTCTGATTCTCAAAGTCTGTAGGGTTGAGAAACATGTCGCCGTTTCAGCACAGTAGGTTGTCTCCATTTTCCCAGGCTGATTGTTCGATTTCTTGTGCTAGATAACAGCCGTATCATTATTATAATGAAATCTGACACTATAATGGAAGGAGCTCTGAGGTACAAAGTAATGGAAGTGATTTGACTTTTGATTGCGAATTTGGCCGTGTTTCACAGTCACCTCTTCTGTGCATCTGCTATAGTATAAAAAAATGATATATTATACTGTATATCACATTATAAAATATACATTTACATTGTCATTTAGCAGACACTTTTATCCAAGGCGACTTACAAATGAGAAAAAATGACAAATTAAAATGACAAATTGTAATAGATATGTAATATTGTAAGTGTTTGTTATATATTAAACAATTATATTTTGTTTTAATTATAAGAAAATGAAGCCTAATTTTAGGACCATAATATTTTTACATTGTGATATTTTTTCATGACACACCTCATCTCCAAATTCTCATTACTGTAATGCAAATGTATAATTAATTCAGTACAACAAATACTGTACATCAATGATTAACAGTTTTATAATTTAAGTAGTGTATATAGTTTTTTTGTAGTACAGTAATCAGAATCAGTGAAATTTCTGATTAAAAAAATTCTCATTGTAATGGAAGAACAAAAAATTCATTTCTGTAATAAAAAAAAATGAAAATCATTCTATTGAAAGAATGAACCAATAAATGAATGAACAAACAAACAAACTCTTTTAATTCAGTATAATGAATACATTCCTGATGAACAATTTGATCATTTTTAGTACATTAATCTGGATCAGTGATTTTTCGGATTAAAAAGATGTCTTGTGAATGTAATCTAGAAGTTCATATGCTATCATTACTATTGGTACAATGCATTCAAATCAAAGCTTTATTTGCAAACCTGTATCTATTCACTGAAACTCTAAAAGTGCTGTTTAGACTCTTCTATTGGCCAAAGCGTGGTCCTGAGTCAACGTGCATTTGTCACTATGTGAGTGAATTTTTAAAGCGGATGTAAGAGCGTAAGGAGATTAAAGGAGCTGCTGGGATTTATACTTTGAAAACGTCCCTGGGACATGCATGCAAAGAAGCGGAGCGGCAAGGCAAACTTAACCTACATATCTCTCTCTTGTAGGTCACAGTAATTACAGATCATTGACTCATTTCATTGAAAAACATCTGGTGGAAATGCGGAGAGTCTATCTTGGATGGGCAGATGCATGATAGTGTGCAGTTTGACTGCGATATCACTCGGGTGCGATAATGTTATTGCGCTTTCTAGAGCGCTCAAGGGGAGGGAAATTTAGTTTTGACGTATGATGTACTGTATGCATAATGAATCTGACCGTAGAAGAGCTCGGGCTTCAACCTGTGGGGAATTGGCTCACATTTCTGCTGTTTATTGGCTTCACAGAAGAGCAATAAATCTGCTGTCTAGGGCTGATATCCTCCCATGATGGAGATGTTCATATAACATGCCTGGAAACACGAGTGCTTCAGACGAGAATAATCCAGCGCTCCTTGAAATGAGGGTTAAAGCCAACAAGCTTTTCGTTAAGTCATTCTTAATGGCTGTGTTTTTCTTGTTGCAATCGATAGAGCTGGCATACTTGGTGCTTTTCTTTCTAATAAGCAGGCTGGATTAAATGGCACACTTGTCTCTGTACATTTCCCTCCCTGTTTGCTGTTTGAACGTGGGTTTGATGTTCAAACATCCCTGGAGAAGACCGGAGCAATTTTGTCCATATCTCTCCATGCCTCAGCCTCCAATTAGAAGCACTCTTTCTTTTTTTATTTGATCAAAATACAGTCTTGTGTTGACCCTCACCGCTCCACATCTCAGCTCTGGCTCCCATGTGTCTCAAACCCAGCTAATATTGACTCAGGAAGGATTCTTAATTAATGAGAGTATTTACAGGCCAAAATTTACTATGTGGGTTACTGTAACCTTGACTTGTAATCTTGGTTGAATAGTGAGTAGCATCAGAAATTAAGAGGAACAATTTGATTTGTAGAGAGATTATTTAGAGTCCAGGATGTCAATTTGTTCGGCACAGGTCACTAAAGCAATAAACCATGAGAGGCTGTCCATTACAGTGATTTTTCCACAGGCAAGGAGAGTTGTTAGGCATGAAGCAAAGTGGATAAAACCACTTCACCTGCAGAACTAGCTTATCGTTATTAATGTGTGAATTTCTGAAATTGGCTGTATATGTATATGTGTAAGGAAATAATGGCACGTTTTCTTAGTCAGCATCTGCTTTTGTATTGTGTATTTTCTATCAGCAGCTCCAAAAAGAAATTAATAAATACAAAAATACCATTAAAAACAATAATAGATACATTTAGATGAAATTTATAATAAAAAATATATAAAATAAAACAATAGAGAAAAACAGAATTTTGATATCTTGTCAATTTTGAATTTGTGAGTATGTGTGTATCGTTTTACTTCATTAATATATTCTTAGGTATGACACAAAATAAGCAATAGAATAATATATATATATATATATATATATATAGTATACATATGTAGATATACATCTGTGTTTTTACTTTGCCATAAAACAACCGTTTTTGGTTCTCCAAAGAACCTTTCAGTGAACAGTACTTAAAAGAACCATTTTTTCTTAGTGTGAGGGACATTTTAATGACCTGAAGAATCTTTCTACTATAAAGATCCTTTTGTGCATTTGAAAGGATCCATGGATGTTAAAGGTTCTTCATGGAACCATAGATGCCAATAAAGAACCCCCTGCAAACCTTTTTGGCCACATAAACCAAATGTGTTATCTTGAATATAAGCCACATACTAAACATCCTGCACCTGCCTAAATTACATTATATTTATTTTCTCATCCTTAAAATGGATCGCATTATGAGCCGAGCCCAAACAACAAGTCCAAAGATGCCTGTCATGGCAACCCTTCTAGAGCGCACTCTGTGAAGCAGCCTTCCAAACGTTAACAAATCATGATGGCTCTGTCGACGGTGGTTTGGTTAAAATCTCCAAACATAACGAGTCTTTGGTTGCTGTTATATTACTCTAGTCAAAAATAGCAGATACCAATGGGCGAGATGGCAAAACGTTGCTGAATCAATGGTGTCAATCGTCACAATTTCGAGAGTTAGTTCTGTTCCTTACACACTCGGAACTGTAATTTAGGGGATTCACTCCAGTATTTAAATGCGGTTGTCGCTCCTGAAACTTTACAGTGCATTGTGTTTAACATGTAATACCGTATTCTAACTGAACACGATGCAACAAGTGAAGTGACGTGACATGTGGCCAAGTATGGTGACCCATACTCGGAATTAGTGCTCTGCATTTTACCCATCCAAAGTGCCACCTACAATCCCTGCCGGTATGAGACTCAAACCCGCAACCTTGGGTTACGAGTCCGATTCTCTAACCATTAGGCCACGACTTCCCCCAACAAATTTTTAAGATTAATTGTTGTTGATGGTTCCATGAAGAACCTTTGCAATCAGTAGAACTTTTCCATTACACAAAAGGTTCTTTCTTTATTGTGAAAAAAAATTGTTAGATTTTTTTTAATATTACTCACACTAAGAAAACAAATTGTTCTTTTAAGAAACATTATTCTGAGAACCAAAAATTGTGCTTTTATTGCATCACTGTGAAAAACCCGTTTTGGAACCTTTATATTTAAAAAAATATATATATACAAATTCGGTGTTTGCAAACAGTGATGACGGTTTTTTTTTGTGGGCAGAGCCTATCTGGTGGCATAAAATTACCGTTTTCAAGTAGCAGTCTATGGAAGCCATGGAATAAAAGAATTTAAAAAAAGTAAATTTGAGTTTATATTTCAAAATTCTGACTTTATTCTTACAATTCCGAGATTATATCTCACAATTCTGATAAGGAAAAACAACTCGTCATTCTCTCTTTTCCCCTGGGCTCATGAGTTTATAGCCCACACTTCTGGCTTATTTGCCACCTGATCTCATGACGAAAATGTATCTGTGGGAACTTTTTTATTTGCGAAATATGTACCAACAAGTACATATCATTGCAGTTTCCAACAGAAATTAACACTAGATGCGGTAAAACAGCGAGCCCTTGTAATCATTTTTGTACACAGTTATGATTACAGCTCCATATGTTTTACTTTCCGGACATAATGAGCTTGCTCGGTAGCTCATCCGGCACAGAATTGGACTTAGGATGAGGAATCCTTGGGTACAAATCCCACCAAAAACATGACTCACAATGAAAGAGCTGAAAGATGAGAGATCGAAAAACAAGCTAAAACGTCATGCTTGTGATTGCATTTTTACGTCACCTTCGCTTTTGTTCATACTATTGGGTAGGTTTAGGTGTAGTGCAGATGGTACGTTATTTTAAAGCATCATGGAGCATTAGACTTATAGTGCCACTTAACAGATATTTCCATTCAGAACTGCGGTGACACAAAACCAGGGTGCGAACTACGGGGGAGCTTAGCTCCCCTTAATAAGACATGGGCTCCCCTGAAAATGTGATTTGTGAAATTTTGGGGGGTCTTGTGATCATCGTGGAATATTATGTGTAAAATTACAAAAATATCATTCATGCATGATGGCGATTTAAACCTAATTCACTTCCATAAAGAGAACTATACATGCTGTTCTTGTCATGAGCATCAAGGTGTGGGGGCGCTGCGGTGCAAATTCCTCTCATGTTTAGTACGTTAACTCAAAGATTCGTAGAAAAAAATATAAACGGTGGACTCTGTGGTCGATTCTGTCCCCTTGTCCA